TTCTATTGTATAGATATATGACATTTTTATCCATTTGTCATTTGATGGACATTTGGATTATTTCTGTGTTTTGACAATTCAGAATGATGCTGCTATAAACACTTGTTTGTAAGTTTTTGTGTGGACATGCGTTTTCATTTTACTTGGTTATATACCTAGGAGTGGAATTGCTGGGTCATATGGTAACTCTGTGTTTAATTGTTTGAGGAACTGCCACATTGAGGTCATGGTCTTTTAATTAACTTAAAAATTATGCCTGTTCTTTGGAAAATATTTTAAAATACTGACAATTTTTTAAAAGATTTTATTTATTCATTTTTTAAAATTTTTATTTATTTGATATAGAGAGACACAGCGAGAGAGGGAACACAAGCAGGGGGAGTGGGAGAGGGAAAACAGGCCTCCCGCGGAGCAGGGAGCCCAATGCGGGCCTCAATCCCAGGACCCTGGGATCATGACCTGAGCCAAAGGCAGACACCCAACGACTGAGCCACCCAGGTGCCCCTTATTTATTCATTTGAGAGAGAGAGCACACAGGCAGGAGGAGAGGCAGAGGGAAAGGGAAAGCAGACTCCCCGCTGAGCTGGGAGCTTGATGTGGGGCTTAATCCCAGGACCTGGAGATCATGACCTGAGCTGAAGTCAGACACCCAACCATCTGAGCCACCCCAGCACCCCCCAAAACACCCCAAATTTTAAGGATAGAAACATTTGATTCCACTAGTCAGGGAATATCCTTGTGGGATACTTTTCTGTTCATATTGTTTTTAATGGGACCACACTTGGCATGATATTTTGTAGCCCATAATGTGAACATCTTTTCATGTCAGTAATTATTTCCATCAGTGAATTTCAAACTTCTTTTACTCTAGGAATCCTTCTTCAAAAGACCATTTTCTGAAAGCTCAATATGTAATCTTTCAGATACCAACAATTACTGATTGGGCCCCTGCTGGGTGCCAAGCATCCCTACCTGCCCCCATGCCTGTTCTCTTTAAAAGTTGCAGGTATTACAAACTATAGATGAGTCATCTCATTAGCTGCTCTCCTATAAGAACACCCAGCTTGCTCTGTGTTTCATTGCTATTAACAGTGACTCAGTGAACATACATCTGTGTGTACTTTTACCATCTTTTTAAGAGAAATCCCCAGGGGCGCCTGGGTGACTCAGTCAGTTACGCATCTGCTTTTGGCTCAGGTCATGATCCCAGGGTCCTGGCTCAGCGGGGAGTCTGCTTCTCCCTACCCCCTTCCTCCCGCTTGTATTCTCTCTCTCACTCTCTCTCTATCAAATAAATAAAATGTTAAAAAAGAAAACGAGAGAGAGAGAGAAATCCCTAGAGGTGGGATATTGGTTCAGGGGCCAACCTTGGACTTGGGCCTATATGAGGTACTGGGAGATGGGAGGAGAGGCAGATGACTTGGTCCCTGTTCTTCAACAGCTAATCAGCTTGAGGAGATGAAATTCAGGAAGGGGAAAAGAAGATTTCAATAAATAGAGCCATACCTTCCAATAGTTCCCTTTTATTTTATTATTTTTTTTTCTTTTTAAGTAGGCTCCATCCTGGGCCTCTCATAATCCTGAGATCAAGACCTGAGCTGAGATCAAGAGTCAGTGTTTAACCGACTGAGCCACCCAGGCACCTGCTAATAGTTCCCTTTTCAGAATTAATACCGTGTATACCTGCTGCATCAGTGTGAAAGCTAATAACCTAAATGTTCAGCATTAGGGAAATGAATAAATATATGACATTATGGTACTAATATGGATCCATCTTCAGGTAAAATGAAGAAAGCAAGGGGTAAAACAATGTTTCACACAGTTTGTTATATTTGTAAAAATATGGACATACACATGCTTGTACATATATAGACCTGCACTGTATACTCTGGTAGCCCAGTTAATCCCCTGTGGCTATTGAGCACTTGAAATGTGGCAAATCCAAGCTGAGATGTGCTGTGAGTGTCAAATGTACAAATGGTACCAAAAAGTATCTAAAATATCTAATAATTCTTATATTGATAATATGTTGAAATGATAATATTTTGAATATATGAGGTTAAATAAAATATTAAAATTTCAGCTGTTTCTTTTCATATTTTTAATGTGGCTACTAGGAAATTTTAAATTATGTCTGTGCCTCTTGGGCTCCTGGGTGGCTCAGTTAAGTGTCTGCCTTCGGCTCAGGTCATGATCCCAGGGTCCTGGGATCGAGCCCCGCCATCGGGCTCCCTGCTCCACGGGGAGCCTGCTTCTCCTTCTCCCACTCCCCTTGCTTGTGTTCCTGCTCTTGCTGTGTCTCTCTCTGTCAAATAAATAAAATCTTAAAAAAAAATAAATTATGTATGTGGCTCATATGTGTGCCTCCCATTATGTTTCGATTGCCTGGGACTGTCACAGACTATCTCCAGAATATGCAACAAATTCATATTGGTGGCTGTCTCTAGGCAGGGGTCCTGAAGGTGTGTGTAGGGTGGGAGACTGACTTTTCACTGTTGTTTTGCACTGTTTGAATTTTCTCCTTTGTTTGAATTTTCAGTACCATGCCCCAGTTTTTAAAAACCATTTAACATGTCTCAAGCCATGACAGAAAAGGCACTGGAAAAGTGAGTCCCACACAGAAGATGCTGTGTGGGAACAGGCTTGGAGAAGGATTTTGGAAACGTGTGATAATTTTACCTTCTTTTCTGCCAAGGCACTGGAGTCACACTGGACCCCCTCAAGCAAGCCCAGAGGGATAGTCCAGAGCCAGGGTATTCCTTTCATGGGGAGTGGAGGTTTCTGCAGCTCAGAATTGTCATTGTAACCAGAACCTGGCTGGATGGGAGGAGTCATTCCTCTTACGATATTATTGCAAATATTTATTTTAACTTATTTTTGTTGAATAGCTTTTTTTTTAATTGGGCACATAATCTGTGATCTAATTGGCAAAGGAGATCCAGGAAGGTACACAGAGCTGATGTGTGGAGGTGACCTCTGAGTGTGGAATTTGAAAGGATTCAAGAGTATAATACTCCCCCACCTTTTGTTGGCCACACAGATACACACACACCCTCCCTACACCCTATAGAAGTGTGTGTGTGTGTGTGTGTGTGTGTGTGTGTGTGTGTGTGTGTGTGTGTTGGATGGTGGTAATCCTTGCTGGTTAATTTTGAAAATGCAACCCCTCAGTTTTATTTTTGGTCTTTCAGGTGGGACTGTCTCTTCCCTCACCCACACCCTCACCCACCCCCCTCCCCAAGGCAGTCACATCCTGGGCTGTGAGTAGTGGCTGGATGTTGGGAGCTGGATTCTTGATCCAGGGTGGATGAACCTGAAATCTCAGCCCTGTCCAGCACAAAGCATAGCACCTGACAGAAGCTGAACAAAACACTGGGAGAAGGAAAAGTCATGATCTGCACCTTCCTACTCCTCTCAGATAGAACTGGGGTCTTTGGGGGTGCCTGGATGGCTCTGTCGTTGAGTGTCTGCCTTTGGCTCAGGTCATGAGCCTGGGGTTTTGGGCTCGAGCCCCGCATCAGGCTCCCTGCTCCGCAGGAGGCCTGCTTTCCCTCTCCCACTCCCCCTGCTTGTGTTCCCTCTCTCGCTGTGTCCTTCTCTGTCAAATGAATAAAAATCTTAAAAAAAAAAACTGGGGCCTTTGCATTCCGTTCTTCCGCAAGTCCCCTAGCCCACCCAACTGCCCACCGCCAGGCCCTCCCTTCTTCCACTCCCACCCGCTGCACCTTGGCTGAAGGGATGTGACTGCAGGGAAGTGAAGAAGAGCCTGAGCTCTTGCTTTTCTGAGCTGTGCACCACCCAGCTAGAGGCCCCCTCTTCACTGGAGAGACAGGATGCAAAAGCACTTACTGCCCATTCACTTTTGTGTGCAGGGTTCCAGGGCTCATTCCAGGAAAACAAGATTGCTGGAAAGTGATCATTTAGAAGATGCTCAGTTTAAACTAGTGACAGATTCAGTTTCCTTGGTCATCAAAGAAACACCAATTAAACAATATAATGCCATTAACATCACTTTAGCCAAACCGTCAGGGGGCATGAGATATTTCCATAACCTGGTTCTGAGGTCAAAGATACCTTCTTTGGCCCCAGTCGCCAAAACCTATGGCTAGGTCAACCATTAGCGCCTCCTCTGAGGCTATTGGAGAAAATTGGACCTCTTGGGGTCGCAGGTAACCGGGGGCCCCATGAGTTACACGGAGGCCCGCACCTCCGGTCTACCTCCTGTGCGGGGTGGGGGGTTAGGCTGCGCTTGGCAATTAGGCTTTACCGACGCTCCGCGCTGCCCGTCAAGAGGGCACAGAGGCTGCAGGAGCGCCTGGGGTGAATTTCTGCTCTACCACTTGCCCCGTGTGACCTTGAACGAGTTAATGAAGTTTTCCACGCCTCAACGTCCGGGTGGATAAAGTAGAGTGACGAACACGGACTGCACCGTGTAGCGGTGTTTGGCAAACTCCCGGAGTGGAGCCTCTCATGGTGCCTACTGGTGAGTGTAGGTGATGTTAAATCTCGGGGGGTTCCCTCGGAGGCCACCCTAGCGGGTGTGGCTTCCTCAGGGACCCACTCCGCCGGGGGTAACTCCAAACCACATCCCGAGAAGCAGAATTTGGGCAGCGAAGATCCTCGAGTCCTGGCTGGGGTGGCGGGGGCGGTGCGTGGAGGCTTAGGAGAAACCCCAACTCCTTAACCCGACCAGAGCCTGTTACCGGGCTGGGCCGGGCTGGTCAGCATCCGCGCCTTTCACCCCGCGGGCCCCGCCCTCGGTCCCGCCCTCCTCCAACCCGCGCCCCCATTGGTGGCGTCCGGCGGCGCGGCCGCTGTTATTTTTCGAATATATAAGGAGGTGGAGGTGGCAGCTGCGGCTTAGAGGCTTCCCGGACTGGTGGCTGGTCCCTGCGTCCCTCCACCCCGCCCCACCCTCCCCGCTTCCCTCTCCTCCCTCGTTCCGACCCCGTGGCTCTTCCTCCCTCCCTCCCCCCCTCCACCCCGGGCCCGCTCCCCACCTCGTCCCGGCCAGCTGTGCCCGGCGTCGCCCTGCCCCCGGCCCTCCCGCCAGCCTTCGGCGGGCCCCGCCGCGATGGAGCTGTCCCAGCCGGAGCCCGCGCCGGGCCCGACTCTCAGTCCGGCCGGCGTGCGCGGTGGCGCCGAGCGTCCCAGCCACCTCCTGGGCCTCCAGCTGGGAGCTCATGGCCTCGTGGGGTCCCCGGAGCGCGCGGCCGCTTCCTCGCCGGTCACCACCCTGACCCGGACCATGCACGACCTTGCCGGGCTCGGCAGGTAGGGCGCCCCACCGACGCTGGGTGTGGGGTGAGAGGCCCGTAGTAGGGTGTTGGTCCCGGGCCTCCCGTGGAACCCGGCGTGGGAGCCGAATCTGAGAAGCGGAGTGGGGGAGGTGTCCTGGGTAGTGCCTGCTTCAGGGACCCGGGACTAGGGCGATGGGGCCAGGTCTGTGCTGCGCACACCCTCCAGGTGACTTGCTCTTGGGCAGCACAAGCCTCTGGAGACACCCGTCCCACCCGCCGCCTCCCCCGTGTGCCTCCACCATGCTGTCTCCCTAATCTCTGCCCTAATCACCACTATTTTGCTCCAGGCAAGGGATCCTGAGCCTGGAGTGGGAACTTGAGGGTGGCAGAGAAGCCTGGTTCTCTTCTGTCCGGGCCCCTGCTCCCTCCACCCCCAGTTCTTTCCTGAGGCTAAGGGGTTAAACCCTGGTCCTGCTTCCTGAGCAACCTGCAGTGTCCAGACTGGGTCGCCCTCAGCAGCAATGGAGACCTAAGTCTTGCCCTTGCTCCAGAAAGGCTTGTGGATGGGTAGGGGTCTGAAGAGTTCCGGGGAAGGCCCTCCGGGGCTACTCTGCTGCCCTGCCATCCCTCAGAATGGCCCTCAACCCACCTCCTTGCTCTTGTCCTGGGCTCACCTCCCCCTGAACCCAGGAGGACCTTTCTTAATCAACAAAGAAAAGCTACTTAGAATCCCTGCAGAAGACCCATGAAGAGGGCAGGCCCTCAGGGCCATCACCTCTCTGGGACAGGGATGGGCCCTTCAGAGGTGGGTGGCTGGTGGGAACATGGGCCAGCTAGCCCTTGAGCCTCACATTTACCTTTCTCCTTCCCTGGGTCTCTTTTGCCTTCCCAGTGAGACTCCTAAGCATCAGGTAGGCAGCCCGCTCACATGCCTATCCCTGTCCCGGCGGCGCGCATCTGAATCCTCCCTGTCGTCTGAATCTTCTGATGCAGGTGAGGCTCAGGGGTACCAGGGGACTTGGCGGGGGGCGGGGGGCGGGTGGGGGCGCTGCCTGAATCTCTCCACTTCCCTGCTGATCAGACTAACATTTTTCCCACAACCTTGTGGGCCCAGGACATTCCACCTGCCCACCTCTGGATGGGGCTCCCCACACCCAGCCCAGACTGGCTGAGCGGGGCGGTAGGGCGGGGCCCTCTTGGGGAGATGAGATCTTACCTATTTAAAACCAGGCGCCAAAGTCCCTGAACCACAGCCCCAGCTGGGAGGCATTAGGGCTGAAATTTGGTCATTTTATAACATTCACTTGCCTTCAGCTGTAACCTTTTCCTTTAAAAAGCTGTTATCTCTTCTAGAACAAATTACTTAAACAAGCTTAAGAAAAATGCTTAGCAAAGTTTTGGTTTAAAACCTATACAGAAGAGGGGCACCTGGGTGGCTCAGTCGGTTAAGCGTCTGCCTTCGGCTCAGGTCATGATCCCAGGATCCTGGTATTGAGCCCCACGCTGGGCTCCCTGCTCAGCAGAGAGTCTGCTTCTCCTTCACCCTCTCCCTCGGAGCTCTCTCTCTCTCTCTCTCAAATAAATAAAATGGAAAAAAAAATAAAACCTATACAGAGGAGTTTCCATAGTAAACAGGGAGTGGGGCCCTGCCCAATTTCGGGGCCAGTGTGTTAGCCCTTGGGGTTCATGGGCAGGTTTTTGTTTCATTTTTTTAATGTATCAAGATTTAAAGTAGAAACAGGTTTTTCCTTTCTCTAAATAGAGTTGCGACATGGTGGGGGAATGTGTGCCGAAGATGCCACTACTTTCAAACCAAGGTGCTCTGTCCCCCCAGGTCTGTGTATGGATTCTCCCAGCCCCATGGACCCCCAGATGGCAGAGCAGACGTGAGTAGAGAAAAGGGATCCCCACTACCAAGGAGTTGGTGCCTGCCTTTGGGAATCCTAGTTCCAGCATAAACCCACTGGGGAAGTCTGGGAGAGTGGACAGACCCCTCCAATCCACATGTAGGGGGGACCCACTGACCTCCTAAGTCCTGAGATTCTGCTTCCTGTCTCAGAGAAGGGTCTGCTCCTATAGGAGCAGCTGAGTGTGGGCGGGCTCAGGGCCAGGTGGTGGGGATAGTGGATACTTCAACCAACCCTTGGCCTGTGGGAATATAGGTCTGGTGTGTGTCCCTTTTTTCTTTTGCCTATACACTTTTTTTTCCTATGAAATCTTACAATTTTAAAATACGGTCTAACTAATTCAAAACATTTAATTCATTTAATTTAACCTGCCATAACTGTTTTGTTTAGGCTGAACAAAACAGTTGTGGCAGGTTGGTTCAGCCCTTGGCCATCCTATCAGCAACCTCTGGCTTCAGTGACGCTTTCTGGCCAACCCCTGGACCAGGCCCTTTATGACAGAGAGTGGAGAGGGCGTTGTGCTCAGGACAGATCCTTCTCCCTTGGTGGTGGGGCATGAGTAGTATCTTCTAGAGCACAGCAGTCCCTATCCAGCGGTTAGAGCCCCAGCAGGGAGAGCAGCTGCTAGGCATTAGCGGGGACAGCTGGGCATCCCCAGACTGGGCTGAGGGACTATAGCTTTGGGGTTAGGGCAGTGGCTGTCTTTCCCCCCACTGCCTTTGATCAGACTGGGCTGGGCTACAGGGTTTGTTCACAAACAGGAAACAGGGAGAGAACTGGGTGGGGGTGGGGGGACTGCAGGTTGGTTTTTGGTGACAACCCAGAACTGTCCCTGCTTTACTCCTGAGGCGCGCAGGTGCAGATGGGAAACCAGGCCAATAAAAGTCATCATTCCCGATGCCAGGCTGTCTGGGCACAGCCCCTCCCCACCCTTGGGAGTCGTCCCCCTGACACTAGCCCTCAGTGCCCCCACCCCACCTCTGCACCTGCTTTGACGGTTATAGTTTCTCAGAAAGAAGCGTGTGTGTGTGTGTACGCGCGTGCACACGCACGCCTGGGCTCACATAGACACACAAAAGCCCTGCGTGGCAGGTGGTCTCTGGTAACATAGCTAGGGGGTGGGGTCTATCTACAGAAGCTTGCGCCCCGGCCTCAAAAGGAACATCTGTTGGAATTCTTTGCCTGCTGGCCTCTTCTAAGGCAGGAGAAGGGGGTGGGACAGAGTCTGGGTCCTAGAAAATTCCATAGGAGGGAGGAGAGGATGTGACCCTGAACATTTGTCACTAGGGGGTCTGGCATGGCACACTGTGGCTGATCTGGGGCACACTAAACCAGGCCCCTGTCCTGGGGGGAGCCAGGACAGCCCCACACAAGGGGAGGGAAGCCTAGTCTTGCTGGCATCCAGGCCCTGGAGATACCCACATTGTCGGCCACGGTCTGTCATCATGGGACGGATGGATGCCTTTCCTGGCGGCCATATGGCCCCGCTGAGGTGATTTGCATACAGGTGGAAGGCCTGTGGGTAAGCTGGCAGGACCGTTGCCTTGGTAGCGCCTTAGCCACCCTGTGACCTGCCCCAGCTGTCTCTGTTGCTCGATTCTCTGGGCCCTCTTCCATTCAGGGTAGCCTTCAAAATCCCAGGCTGCTGCTTCTCTCCCCCCTCCCCAATACCTGGGCCCCTGAGAGTCAGCATTCTTCCTTCCCCTTTCTGCTGGCCTGAGCCCTGGCCCCCAGGCCTTGTGGACTTGGGGCCTGATGCTGGGGGTGGGTACTGGGCTGTAGGGGGAGATGGGCTGCATGGGACTTTTCTCTTTCCCAGGTTTGAGCAGGCCATCCAAGCAGCCAGCCGGGTCATCCGAAAGTAAGTGCTCCAGCCTTCCTCATGAGGGCTCTGGTGGTCCACCTATCCCAGGCTCTCCCCATGCCCCCGTTTGATGGAGGAGGCATGGGGAGGGTGCTCTCCCACTGCCTCCCACAGGGATGCGCAGGGCTCTGTGGTGAAGGGGCATCCTGCGTGCTGTCCTGCCCGGCCCCCTACTCTCCAGCCCTGACCTCTCCCTGTTTTCTCCTGCAGCGAGCAGTTTACCATTCGACGTTTCCAGTCCTTGCCGGTGAGTGCCCTCTGAGGCCTGACACTGGAGGCTCAGGCTCTGGCCAGGCTTGAGGAGGGGCAGGAGGGATCCGGGGTCACCTCCCAGAGGGCAGACTTGAAACAGTCTGGTATCCCTGGTCTGGCTGTGGGAGATGGGGTTTTGGAGGTGGATGGGCAAGCTGGGGGAGTCGGAGAAGGGACGGGAGAAGGTAGGGCCAGGGCTGGTGCCAGAGGAATGGAATGCCATGGAAACCCCCGCATCCCAGCCATGCCCATGCTTTGGCAGAGTGGGCCAACCGCAGAGAAGCCTTTGCCCAGAGACCAAACTCAGCTCCCGACCTGATGGTACATTGGGAGAATGGAACCCAATGTAGAGTGGGTGTAGGGTGGGTGCCCTTGAAGGCAGCCTGGTGGGGGGGGAGGTGGAGGTGGAGGGTGATCCTGAACCCTGAGGCAGTAGGAAACTTTTCTCAGAAGGATGGGGGTGAGGGCTGCCTCGGGTCCCCACCCCTGAGTGGCATGTGTCTGTCCCCCACACAGTGTCTCACCCCTGAGCGCAAGATGGAGGTAGAGGAGCTGAGTCCCCCAGCCCGGTGCCGCTTCTCCCTGACTGCCACCCAGGGGGCCTCTGAAGAAGATGATGGATTTGTGGACATCCTGGAGAGTGACTTAAAGGTAACCAGTCTTGCCCCACCAGGCCATCGACCTCACTTTCCCTGGGACCTCCCCAAAGAGGAAAGCCCTGACCTCCCACCCTGAGACTGTGACTTCATTCCGATGTCAGAAGAGGAATCAGAGCTAATGGAGTCACAACGTGGCCTCCAGCCTACCAGAGACTAGCAGGGAGCTGGTGCTGCAGTGAGGGAGGGCGCTGCAGGGCAGAGGCGAGTCCGACCCTCCCACAGGGCCACATGTCTCAGCAAGTGGGGCCCTGCAGTTTCCTGGTTCTGGGGGACTGCCCTGTGTGGGTGTGCAGGCAGGGCCAAGGAGGGCTATGCTGGAGGACCTGGGGCCTGAGGGGCTGGCCTTTGCCCGCGGGTGTGACCATACCCTTGCTGATTTGGCCTCAGGACAACAACACGGTACCCCCAGGCATGGAGAGCCTCATTAGCGCCCCACTGGTCAAGACCGCAGAGAAGGAGGAAGAGCAGGTGGGTCTCTGAGGGGGCCACCCCAGAACTTGGGGTGGGGCTGGTAGGGGGCAGGGGTGGGGTACTCTGACCTCTGACCTGCCACCCCTGCCAGGACCTCATCATGTACAGCAAGTGCCAGAGGCTCTTCCGCTCTCCGTCCATGCCCTGCAGCGTGATCCGGCCCATCCTCAAGAGGCTGGAGCGGCCCCACGACAGGGACCTACCCACACAGAACAAGCGGAGGAGGAGCGTGACCCCTCCAGAGGAGCAGCGGGAGGCCGAAGAACCTGTGGGTGCCCCCCTGGGGTGGGGCCGGGCAGCCACTGTCCAAGTCGACCCTGCCAGCCCTCCTTGGCCGGGTTTGTGGCAGAGGGCAAGGTGCAGGAAAAGAGGTGCCAGCCCCACGGGCGCTGAGGGGCAGCCTGGCCCCTGACCCTGGCCACCATCTACCCTGCAGAAAGCCCGTGTCCTCCGCTCCAAGTCCTTGTGTCACGAGGAGATTGAGACTATCCTGGACAGTGACCACCGGGAACTGATTGGGGATTACTCCAAGGTACCAGCAGTGGACCCTTGGGAGGCTCGACCCTTTACTGTGTGGCCCTCTGAGCTCAGCAGCTGCCTTGGTACCTCCTCCCCCCTGCCCCGTCCTGGCTTTGTCCTTCACAGCTTATTCTTTATTCTCACCTAGACTCCTCTCTCCGGCTCTCCTTGGTTTCCTGACTCTACCCCAGATCTGTCTGGGGCATCAGTTGTTTCAACCTTGGAAAACCTTTCCAAACTAACATTGTAGCTTGGAGCCTCCTCGGGTCTCATCCAGGGGGCTTGGCAGAGTGTGGTGGCAGGTGAACTCTTCTGTTCCCTTCTGCATTTCCCCCTTGGAAGGGGTTGTTCCCTGGATGTCAGACCCAAGAGGCGCCTCTTGGTTGCTATGGGAACCAGAGCTGAATTTGAAGGTCAAAGCAGGTGTGGCCTTCTGGGCTTGGGAAAGAAACTCCATCCTTCCCAGGCTCCGAGTCTTGCCAATTTCACCTTTCTTCTCTCCCTCCCTCTCTCCCTCTCTTTCCCTCTCTCCCTCTCTCCCTCTCCCCCCCTCCCTCTCCCCCTCCCCCCCTCCCTCTCCCCCTCCCCCCCTCCCCCTCCCCCCCTCTCCCCCTCTCCCCCCCTCCCCCCCCTCTCCC